GATATAGTGTTGTCTTGTATATAAGACCGGCCACGAAGCGAAGAGGGTAATGAGTAATTGAACTGCAGTCAGAGAGAATATTGTTGAGCACGTGAAAAGTTCGTTGAGAATTATAGCGTTTGTTATAGCGCGGCTGTTGAAATTAAGTGTATCGCAAAGTTATATTCAGAAAGAATAAACCAGTTTTATTAAGAAAGGACTTGTGTCGCTAAAGTTTCGTCGGAACGAAGTTACGGAAAATTAACTAACGAACGGAGACGTAACAATATTATTATATTTAGTATACCATTGTTACAAGTCTTGTCGTCGTTGTAAACGTCTCAACAACTCGTGACACTAATGTCACCATTGACGAGTTATGGTATTAAACGCACAGTATAGAAGGTTGTGACATCGAGTAAACAAAAGACAGCCCCTATTTTTATACATCTCTGATTTGAAATCATAGTGACATAATGACATAATAATTCTGTATATTAACGCCCCCCCCTCCCCAATAGAGCCCGGTAGCTTAGTGGTAAATCTGCGGATTTATAACGTTAAAAAATCGGGTTTCGATATCCGTAGTGGGTACAGCATTGTGTATCTTTTCATTTAGCTACAAAAAGAAACACTGTATCAGTTCGAATATTCTCAATAACCTGAAGTTAGTTATGGTGTGAATGGCTGGCGAAGCATGATTATAATTAATTATAATTGTTATAATATTGTTACGTCTCCGTTCGTTAGATAATTTTCCGTAAATTCGTTCCGACGAAACTTTAGCGACACAAGTCCTTTCTTAAATAAAACTGGTTTATTCTTTCCGAATACAACTTTACGATACACTTAATTTCAACAGTCGCTCTATAACAAACGCTCACGTCTCACGTGGCCAACAATATTTTATCCGCATACATTCAATTACTCATTGCACTGTTGTCCCGTCACGTTGTGAACGTCTTATATATACAAGACTAACACATATCTAGTAAATGCTAGGGCATTCTTGAAGGAACAGGATATTTCTAGAAAGAGGTGGCGTGATACTAGTCACGTGACCTCGATGTCGTAACACTATATTAGAATTAGGCTTATTATATATACTTAACATTACATTCTTTAACTAGTTCCCTAGAGATTTCCAAGTATTAGAAGAGTGTATAACAGTAGTATTTCAACCACATTATGATTGCTATATCTATTGCTCACGACGCGTTTCGCTCAATCCAGAGCTCTTATGACAAGTATACTTAATTATAATCACGCTTCTAATTAATTATTATTGAAATACTACTTGAAAATCCCTAAGGAACTAGATAAAATAATGTAGCGTTGAAAAATATAACAGCCCAATACACATGTCTTTTGACAAGTATAATTAATTATACATCTGCAGGTAGGCCTAAAGAGTACCTTACTGACTGAAACCTAAAAAAATAAAACTGTTTTACCAGGCGATATTTTAACCTATTTTTATCTGAATTTACATTTTGTTGTTTGCCCCGTTTCTTTCCTCTTATACCAGAATTAATATCTTTACAGCTATGCCTGATAATGCAAAGAATCCCTAAATTTGTACAAAACAACAAGTAAATCCTTGTATAACTCGAGAAATTGTTTTCTTTCGATTTAAGAATTTTTGTTAATTCCAATAATGAATCTAAGGGGAAAATGTGTAACAATGTTCTTACATGATTTATATTTCTATGTCTAAGAGGTCGCCATGTATATTGTTGGACTTCTCAATGTAACCATGACGATGTTATTTGTTTAGGACATAAATTAAATCAAAAGTCACTCGTCAACGTGCCATAAAAGCAACATGAATACTAGTTAAACTAGCTGATACAAAATTCCATTGTATCTTAAAGCCTCAAAATTAGGCGCAAAAACAAATTGATAAGTCATGATACGAGGCTATGAAAAATTAAGTAAAGATCATCCTAATACTTCTTCAAACTATGTTTATGCAAATGCAAATGCGGAAATTTTGTTAAAACATGGTTATAAATTGGGTGGAATTATTGGCGAGGGTTCTTACTGCAAAGTGAGGTAAGAAATAAAGCAAAATCCCCACATTATAAAGCACAACCTGGTGGAACTTTTGTACAATAAACAAATATTATCACAATACGCATTTGACCTTTATTAGAATTATCATAGAACACATTAGTGATTTATAAACATTTATATTACAAACTTAAATCGGATACACAGAAATACAAAACACCGTATATTGATATGAAAGGTTTTTAAAACTTCAGACTTTATCTACATACTTTTGTCAACTTTTAACACGCATTGTTACAAACACATTGTACGGATAATTGTAATTTATAACATTTTAGATATAACAAGGCAAAACAATTGTTATAACAATTGTTATAAAACAATGTCAAATCGCTCCTCCCAGTTTGTTTCGATACAAATTAGGAATAACAAATATTGTTGGACAGCCACCAATCAGAAAATGTTTACTTGACTTTGATATTACAGCGAAATACTTTGAATAGAAAGTAAACAAAATTAACCTCAATTCTTGCATCTCACCTGGTGACGTCAGGTAAACTTGGTGACAATGAAACGTTGTGGAAAAATAAACAAAATATTTTACTCTGTATACAGGGGCGGCGCTAAAGGGGACTTGGGCTATAGCCGCCTCAACATTTGCTTTAGCCACCAGAACCAGCTTGTCCACCTCATGGTGATCTACACATCCTGACGGAAAAGGCTGGCGCCTGATCTGTCTATACAACAGACAAAACCTTGTTTGAAACAATTAAGTTTTATTATTTAACTAATGACATTTTATTTCTTGTATTGTTCGAAATAAACCGCAGATTATAAGATATATTGAAAGTGAACATATGTGTGTGTGTGTGTGTGTGTGTGTTGTGTATAAAATGTAATATTTTATCATTCA